ATGTGTGGACTTCAACTCCCAGAATTCTGGGAGTTGAAGTCCACACATCTTCAAGTTGCCACGGTTGAGGAACACTGCAGTAGACAATTTCTTGGCCTGTACCACTCAGCTGGAAGGCTTCCTCTGACTTAATTTCTATATGCAAGGATTTTCTCTCTGCAGTTCACCCATGGGGAAACAAACCACCTGCACCAAGAGGGCCCAGTCAGTATGACATTTTGTGGCCCCACCTCCTCAATGCAAACCAACCTGTGCCCAAAGTTACTCTACCTTGTTCAAAAGGATACCCATCAGAAGGGGACATCCCAAATCTGGGGTGAAGTGACCACTGATGAGGACCTTCAACAATGAAAAGCCATTCATTAATTCATTCATTGTACAATTTCTATCTGGACACAGTCCTGAAGGCCACTTGGGGGTTCACAAATCCACAACCAATGACATCAAAATTAATACAAAACTAAAACATATAAGCATCATAAACATCCAACATGGTGCAAAAGCTCAGCAACAGCCAATATACGACACGACAGCAACATGTCCCATTTGTCCTTTGGAACAGCTCCATTTTCAGCTGCTTCTGGAAGACAATCGAAGGGTGGCTGTCTCATGTCTAACCAGGAGGCTGTTCCAGAAGGCCGATGCTACTACTGAAAAGCAGCACTGCTGACCCTCACCTCTCTAGACCCTTGAAAGTAGGGAACCACCCCACTTTGCAGCCAGATCCATTGTTTAGGCTGCGAATGCAGCGCTGAAACCTACTTTCATAGCATTTCCTCCATAACAAGAACCGATAGCTGATCTGCCCTGCTTCCCAAGCTCTCTGCAAGCTCCATGATGTGGTGAGCCATGGAGGGGCAGTGCAGATTTCAGATTCAGCCACCCCCAATGCACAGACACAACTGCCCAGATACGCTCCTATCTGCTTCGACAGCAGACAGAAATGGGTTGCTCACGCAGTGACCAGCACTGTGTTGTCCTAACTTGGCCACTTTAAGATGAGTGGACTTCAACTCCCAGAATTCCCCAGCCAGCCATCTTAAAGTGGCCAAGTTTGGACAACACTGATCTACAGCATCTAAGAGAGCCAGCTGTGACGTTTGACGTGAAAATTACACCACATAGACCTTTCAGAAGACAAGACCAGAATAGAAAACGTAATGTACTGTACAGGAGATTAAAAATCAACACGGCGGGCAGAACCATAAAATGGGAGCCCTGTTCTTTTTTATGTAGGTCACTTGGAGCACATGGTCGTAGCCACCATCTGACTTCCTGACCCCCTTCCTGCGGACACCCCAGCACTCCAGATGTTTCAGATGTCAACTCTCACCAGATCTAGGCAGCTCAGCAAAAGCAAGGGATTGTGGGAAATGGAACTGAAAAATCCAGTGGATTCCAGATTGCCTGCCCCGGACAAAAATGCCAAAGATCCAGCATATGACAAATTCAAGTATTGGACCAGGCCAAAATGTTCTTGGCTGTACTTTCTACTTTGAACTGCCAGCCAGATGTTCTTGGGAGGACTACACACACCATGTTCCCCTAATCTTTGCTTCCCAGCTTTCTGGGTCCTGAGTACTAAAGGTAACCACAGCCACCTCCATGAACCACCATCAGTAACTCTCCATTTGTGGCTTTAACGCAGCCTGCTCCCAATGCATTCAAATGGCCACCCCGTGCCTAATCTTGCAGCACCAAACTTCATAGCTGGACTGCCTTCACACAACGTGAAGAACCACAAACTAGCTAACCACCTTTTAGCCAGCGAGTTCTGCGAACCCAGGGCAGGGAGTTAATTTGTGGTCTGGTGCTCATGCAAAATCTGAGCATTTAAGTAAGCCATGTTAAGCTAACTGGGGGGACATGGTCTGGACACAGCCTCTGATTCAACGTTGTGAAACAAAGGGGTTTCTTCTCTCCATTCTGGGCTTCTCAAGCCCCACTTCTTCGCTTCTGTCAAGCCATGCATCCTTTTATATTCCAGCCCAGTGTTTCTCAACCTTGGCAGGTCAAAGATGTGTGGACTTCAACTCCCAGAATTCCCCTGGCTAGGGAATTCTGGGAGCTGAACTCCACACATCTTCCAGCTGTCAAGGTTGAGGAACACTGCAGTAGAGCATTCTCAGCTAGGAATTGGGAGGGAATTCTGAGGACAGTTGGCCTTCCTGCTTGTGCTAAAACCAGGACAGATCAGGGGAGTCGTGGGGTTCTCTGAGCTGGGCGGTTTCCTTGCAAACGTCTCATTACCGGCTAAGATGCGACCTAGCATCTTGCAACCTTTGCAAGAAAACCACCCAGCTCAG